AACATAGTATCAACTTTTGCTACAATTAATTATATATTCTGATAGTACTTGAAATTCTGTATCGTTCTAGACTTCTGAAAAGAAAAACGAAAGAGATAGTAAAAAACGCAATCCTTTCTAGTTTATCAATGAGTACCTCTCTATAATATTGCAGCTAACCTTCCGTAAATAAGTGCAAGACAAGACAAAAATATACAGGATGATAGAGAATTTCATGCTCTATCTGAATATGTATTTTTGTAAATATTTTGAGAATAATAATAATTTCAAAGTTTCTAAAAAATAGGCAATCGTATTTTCTGTCATATAGGGTGCATCTACCCTAGAGAAAGTACTGAGTTCAGGGTACCCATGTACTGAGAAAGCTCTAGCAGGGTACCCAATATGGGTACTTTGAAAATTTTCAGTAATTTTACTGATGTATGTACTGTTTGGGTACCCGTAAAAGTACATTCACTGAATAAGTACCTGCATGGATACACAAGTCTGTAACTTTACTGAGGAAATCTCGACAGGGTATCCTAAATTTTTCGCGTTCTGTGTGGCGACTATTCATTCACCGTTTTCTTTTTTACGAACGGCTCTATATAAACAACTCGATAAATCATAAGAAAATAATCAATTTTCATACTAGTTTTTTCTAAATTATTTCTTGACTATTTCTTAGTCGAGGAAATGCCGAGCTTGGTCGTAAATTAAGATCGGACTACCCTGAAGTGGTCTACGACCAACTCAAGTTGAGTCGGATCCCGACATTGTTCCTGCTAAGTTTTTGGAATTGAAAAAATTAAATTGAATAAATTAAAAAAAATCTAGTAAATTATCTCAAGAAAAACAAAAAAAAATTTTAAAAAGTCAAAGATCAGGTTCGATCCTGAACATACTGAAAATTTGGTAACAGGGTACTTAGAAATACTATACAATGGTACCCAATTCAGTACTTGATCAGTACCTTTAGGTACCCAATTACTGTGCATTTTCCAGCAGGGTACTTGCCAAAGTACCACTTAGGTACCTATAAGTACCTGCAAGTACTTTGGTACCCAAAAGTTCCTGTGACATACTGGTATCAGGGTACTTTTTTGGGTACCCTTAACTCAGTATATTCTCTAGGGAAGAGAACTTTAATAATCTGCATAACTCGTTGAATACATACAAAATTCTGCTCAATGATTTCGACAATTTTATAGTGTGAGTGTCTCTTTGTATTCCAGCATCAGCATTACGAATGTACGAAATTAGTTGTCTTTGCTAAGATAAATTTTGCAATTGTTGTTTTTTTAACTCAATTCAATAAACCTATAGACATTCTTTAATCTTGTATAATGAATAGTTTTCATCATGTTTTTTTTTATGATGAAAAAATGACCATTTCATGTAGGCTAGGGCGTTTGTTGACTACATGACATTCCAATATGGTCAATCCTGTGTCTCAAAATCATTGAGCACTAAAGTGCATTCATTTTCACTCGTTTACTGTACAACATGTTTTGTCGATATATTTCCACCTTTGCCTAAAATTAGTTGATTAATTTTCGTTAAATATTTAATATGTTTTATACGAACCAAAATAAATTATAGAGAACATTAGTGTTCAAAATATCTCTGGAATATTTTAGAACGAGATATCAATCTATATATAGTTACTATCACAAAATTTTATTTGATTTTCTATATATGCTACAGTGTATTCGAAAAATTTGTCATTGTTCACATCTCATCATCACGGACTAATAGTGCAGAATAAAATTTGAGAGGCTGTTTTTTTTGCTATCCATAGAAATGTGAAATATCAGTCTGATGAGATACGAATAGTGATGAAGTTTCTGAGTACGCTAGTAAGTTTACAGAAAATCAAGTTAATGTTTTTCGTATTAATTATATTTAGAAGAATATCTGACTCTAAGATATTCCAAAGATATTTTAAAAAGTGGCGCCCTCTATAATACATACTGTCTAGTGTCTTAAGAATAGATTTTGCTGAAACGCTGCTCTTCATACTTGAGAAATTAGAAAACACAAGCTCGATGTTTTTTTACAACCATCATTCTAACGTTCTTAGTTTAACGAAGTCAGTATTATTACTGTGTTAATGGTTAGATTACATACAATATCTGTATAGAACGGTGCATGGTAGTTAGTATTGATTTATTGCATAATTAAACTCTATGATATAAATTCAATGATTTTAACAGAAATTATCTTAGAACATCTTATTCACAGTAGAAAATAATACACCTGAGGCTCATTATGATCGAGTATATGGATGTATGGGTAAGTGAACAACTTATTTTTTTAAAGGTTGATTCGTTTTTCATTTAGTCTGACTTGGAATTTTTCAGCTTAGTGAATCATGGAGTTGAGCTTAGTTGCCTGTTTTAGTCATAAGTGTTACATTCAACACGAAAAACGTGATTTGTTCTTCTATGTTAAAAGCATAAACTGATATTATATCCAGTGACGCAGAAACTCATTGAGTAAGATTAATATTTTAGTTTTTCTTCTCGCTATTCAGTTTATTTTATGCATCGTTTTGTAGACGATGTTGACTCATTCTCACTGCTTTTACTATAGAAAAATCGTGTCAGATAATGTAAACATACAGATCATGAAAAACGCCTAACGGTCAACCAGCATGATTAAAGTAGAAGTTAAAATTAGGCAAAATTAATGAATATCATATTATAAAGCAGACTTTTCTGCATATGACACTGTCTTTCATTTTATCTGTTGACGCTTATTAAACAAAAAAACATGGACGAAAGAAAACTGGTGATCAATACCAATTTAGATGGCTGATCACGCAACAAAGAAAAACGTACTTCATGAAACAAAGAAAGCATTGATCATCAAGTGTCTTATGCCATTCTGAAGCTCCGAATCTTGGCTTTCTGTGCATCTATTTAAAAGTTTCTCAGATTATTCCTACTGGGAGAAAAGTCCTTCAGAATAACTAAAAAAATATATGTCTGTGCGTTACCAAAAAACTAAATTTAGTTAGTTTTTTTTACTAAAATAAAACTGTTTATTTTAAAACTCTTGATGGTCTTCCACTAACTTTTTATGGGCTATCTAATGCACATATTGGTTTTCCATAAGAGTGCTTTAGAGCTGAAAAACTTGGTAACGCACAGACGCGACTATTGAATGGTTCATATTAACATATTCATAGATCTACGGAAAGCTATTTGTTTCAAGACCAATTTAACGTCTCAGACACTTCTGCTTCTTATTGCTGACTACTTGATTTGAAAAAAGTGAAGAAATTTTGGCTGGATTTCTAGAAAGCTTTGACAAAGATTTTGTTTTTATTCTTCATTACTATGATATACAGCAAATTCACCTTGTTTCTAGTAATTTAAAAAAAATATCTGCTCCATATGAATGTAACGAAATGTATAAACTTTATCTTTATCTGTTTCTCTTTCTCTCTATTGACCTTGCGACCGTTCTTTTCTCGTACGACCGTTACGCATGACTGCCGTTCATTGTCTATTTCTCATATATAAACATTTGTTCTGTGTGAACAGAACGAAGAAAACGATTTATTGCTTGAACAAGTCACAAAAAGCGAGTATACTCACAAACACTTCTCTTATCACGATTATCACAATGAAGCTCACTGCGGCTCAAAAGCAGAAACGTTATCGAGATAAATTGAAGCAAAATGGTCGTCATAATGCCATGAAAGCCAAAAATCGAGCAAGAATGAAAATTGCTCGCAGCAAACTTTCCGATTTCCAGCGAGAACAATATCGTAAGCGTGATGCAGCAGCCCACAGAAGTGCTCGTGCGGCTAAAAAATTCCAATTAAAGTACATAGTCCTTACTTGTCTCGATTATATGAAGCGCATTAATCCTTTTATTTCTTTAGTGCATCATTCAATTCGAAGCAAAGTCTTGGAAGAGCTGTCAAAAAAGTGATTAAATATCTTCCTCAAGATCCATCAAAAAAGAAATTAGTTATTCAAACAATTGCTGAATCGATCGGATTACTACCTCAATCTGTTCACAAACGTACATCACGTCAATTGCCATATAAACTGAAGGAAGATGTTATTAAATTTTATTGTCGGGACGACATATCCTATCAAATGCCGGGAAAGCGGGACACGATCGTTGTCTGGCAGAATGGAACGAAATCAACTCATCAGAAACAAATTTTACTCTACAGTCTTCGTGAAGCGCACCAATTGTTTTTGTTGGAACATACCGGTAAAAGTTTTAATGAGCGGGCAAGATTTATTAGTAATAGTTCATTTTTTATAGGTGAAGATATTTCCTCGACCAGTTTTTCAGAATTACGTCCAAAGTATGTTCTCATCAAATCATTAATGACTCATCGTGTGTGCGTCTGTGCATACCATGAAAACGTCAATCTACTGTTGGACGCTCTACGAAAACATGTGAAAGGTGGAGTTTGTTCCGATTTGAAAACTTTTACAAGTTCGTTGGTGTGTGATGAGTCGAACGAGGTATGCATGTCCTCAAATTGCAAGACATGCAGTAAATATTTTAAGACAAAAGTTCAAGAAAAGGTCATCGATACAACTGTAAAAATTAAATGGCTTCAATGGAATAATATTAATGGTCGGGCACAGAAGCAAGAATTTGAAGGAACAGTGGAAACCTGTGTCGAACATTTGTCTAATTTAATCAAACAATATCTATTACATGTATTTATCAAGCGTACTCAAAGTTACTTATTCGAACAAATGAAAGAAAGAACAGATGATCGAAAAGTTCTTCTACAAGTCGACTACGCTGAAAATTTTGTTATGGATCAGCAAGATGCTATTCAAGCAGCTCATTGGAATGCAGGAGCATTATCAATATTTACAGCACACGCATGGTGTGGAGCGAACAATTTTTCGTTTGCGTTGGTATCTGACAACGTTACTCATGATAAATATTGTATTCATGTATGTTTGAATTACATTATTAGTGAATTAAAACAGTATTTTCCAAATTTGGAAGAAATTACGTTTTTCAGCGATGGAGCTGCATCGCAATTCAAACAACGATATCTATTTCAAAATCTAACAAGAATGATGATGGAACATTATTTGAAATTATCGTGGAATTTTTTTGCCACATCCCATGGCAAAGGTGTTGTGGATGCTATTGGAGGTATTATAAAACGAATGGTGTGGCAGGAAATAATGGCAAGGAAACAGTTATGTCGAACAGCTACTGATTTCGTTCGTATTGCAAATAAAAAAACAAGCACAATTATTGTTCATGAAATCTCTCAAACTGAGATTGATGCATCGAAACAAAAACTTCAACCATTATTTGCTACAACGAAGTCGGTCAAGAATACTCAAAAATTGCATAATGTCGTGCCCATTCGTTTGGATGTTATCGAGTGTCGTATGTACGGTGATGCAAAATCGAAATGGACAGTTGTTTTTTGATTTATATTTCAAAACGAACTGTTTTTTTTTGCCTTTAGTAAAAACTTGTATAAGCATTATTTGAAATATCGATATAAAAACAGTAGTAGTTACTTAAAATATGAATGAACATCATTACCTTGATGCTACGAAGAACAATTTCTAAATATAAAGCAATATTTTTACATTTGGGAACTTTTTGAAAAAAATCATGTCTGTGCGTTACCTAATATTCTGTCAATAGCTCACTCATTTTTCGAGATATCAATGTTTTCTTTTCAGCAAAAGATAGCCCTGATTCTTAGCTACAAAAACTCTCACTACTGCCATTCATTAACATGTATTAATTCGCAGGATTTGTTACTTATTTCGCGTCGTCTGAAGAATGAGGGCCTTTTTTGTCCGTGCGTTACCGACCAATATTTCTTGTGTAAATCTCGATTGCGTAAAGATAGAAACTTGAAATTTTTATGGGATGTAGAACTCCGTTGAGTACATATCTACAAAAAGTTTCAACTCTCCAGCTCTATTAGTTATCGAGATATATACTTCTGAATTTGAAAAAACGTCTGTGCGTTACCTGCGTTTTTCATGAGATGTAGAACAAAACACTTTTTCTAAATTATTGAGCATACATCGAACAAAGAAAGTTGT